AGGAGAGAGGACGAGCGGTGTATGGGCCTGCTCATACTCTGATGCTTCGTCGCCGAGTCAAGAAGCCCTGGCGAATCCGTTTTGTCGGTGACAGGGGTGACGATACGTCGCTAACCGGCGACAGCGTGGCGGCTGAGTAGCTGCTGGCTCTCCTTGGGGCCATGGCTCCTGGGTAGTAGGGCAGAGCTGGCTGTGGTGTCAAGATGCGCGGGGTGCTGGTGTGGTTCTCCTCCTTTTCCTCGCTAAGCTGCTCCATGGTGCTTGTCTGTATTGACAGTCCCTCTCGAGAACGCGAGGCTGCGGGGTTCAGATTAGGCCTGCTACGCTTCCTGACCAGGCTCAACGTCCTCTTGAACATGGCCGCCGTCTTTCGGAGCTGCGGCTCGGGCTGCTCGGGCTCTTCCGGCTCTGATCTTGACGCAAACGGGTCCACATTGAGGAACGAATTTGAGTCCTTGTCAAAAGTAACCGGGGACATGATGCTGCTTGAGCGGGGAGGGTGCTGGAATACTGCTTTGGATGATGATGTAGAGGAGACAGACTCCTTTCGCCTGCTAAACACCGGCTCGGTTGATATCCTTGTAAGCTCGGTAGCAGAGCGTTCCGAACATGAGGTCTGCGATCTTGACCTTCGAGAAAGCTGGACAATGCAGGGCTTTCCTGAAAAGACGACGGAGACTGCCCGGGCAATGTCCTGGCAGGTTGATGGCTGTTCTTGCACCGCTTGTGTATGCTCGCTATCGGAGCTGTAGTCGCAATCGGAGAAGTCGTCGGCGGAGGAAGAAACATCCTCTTCTGATGAGAGGTAGAGGAGATGAGGAGCGGCGTGAGTGAGGACGGGTCGGTGCTGTGAAAGCTTCTGAGGCATGGTGGCCAGCAGGCGTGAGGCTCTCAGAGCGCTCCTGGGAGGCAGAGCCGGTGCCTTGGGTAGCATAGTCGTCTCTGACTTTGCGGTGGTTGTAGGCGACATGGTGTCGAATTGGGCCATGTCAGTAGTTGTGGTTGTGGTTGTGGTTGCGATAGTGGAAGTCTCCGAGCTTGGTGGAAAGCTTCGTCTTGTATACAATCTTCTCGTGGTGTGCTGCGGAATGAGATCGGCTTGGGTGTCTTTGTTCGAGCGGTCCACCAATGACATGACCTGGTGGATAGGCGAGCCGTAAAAGACAATATTGAATTTCTTCGTGCCCGTCTTACTTTATTGGTAGCTTCGAAGGGACGATCCAAGACCAATATAAAGAAAAAAAAGTCGAAATAGAAGAGAGAAGATGGAAGGGAGAGACTCTGGTGAGGTGGATGGCAGAATAAGGCGTCAAGAAGGGAAAGGGCGCTGGAGGGAGACTGCAGAGAGGAATGCAAAGCTTCTGTTCTCGTCTTGCGCAAAAGAAGCGAAAAGGGAAAAAGAAAAACGAAGACTAGGAGAAGAGAAGAGAAGATTTCCTGATCGAGAAGGGAACAAGAGAGAGATCATGTCTCTCCGCCGGAAGGGGGGAGCACATAGATAAGTAGCCTGCTCGTGTTGTACGCATCGCAGGCATGGCATGTTCCACCGGCTGGCACGAGGGCGGCCGTGCTCGCTGCGCAGCCCGCACTGGGTACTTGCAGCCAGCGGCGCCCGGGCCACGGCGAGCAGCTCCACTTCCTTGGCGTCTCCTTTTAGTCGAGCGTGGCAGGGGTTCAGAAAAGTGGGTGCGAGGGGAGGGGGCCCACTGTGAAGAGAATGAATTGATGCCCACACAACTTTGTACGAGTGTCGATGTACTGCTTGTATCCCGCCGTAGAATAGCTTGTACCAGCATCCATCGCACGCATTACCTAACATTGCGCAAATGTCACTGACTGGCTCCCCTGCCACCGAGTCGTTTCACAGGCCTGCCGCAGCCGACTAACACAGCGGTTTTTGCCTGGGGACCGGTAGCTGATGAGTGCAGCCAACGGAGCGAGCAGCTGTTTCTGTCCACGCGCGCTCCTCTCCATTTCGCTTTCGTCCAAGCTGTCATATATTTTGGTGGGAAAATGTGACTGCTGCAGATATACTAGTAGTGAGCCCAGTTGAGTTCAGTCGCGCATTGCATCGCATCACATCGCATGCAGCGCCACCTCCAAGTTCCAGCCTGTGGCTAGAGACTCTGGCAGCGACAGCGCTCAATGCCTTCGCTTAAAGCCTCCAAAGCTTCCAGTCTTCCAATTCTCTTCCCCAGCCACCGCCTGCACTATGCCATCATTCCAAGAAACTGATGGCTAGCGTCATATCTGCTGCATCCAGCGGGCACCTTTAATCGGCGAGCCCTTCTCCAACCTGCCAGTAGCTCAGGCGAGAAGAGTCACGACATCAGCATATTGCTGCCCTAGGTTCTGGCTAGTGCTGCGCATCAACTGCTATGATGTCCGTAGGTACATTGCAGGTACTGTAGTGGTGCGAGTCTCATAGACTCCTCGCAGATCTCAGGCCGTCGTTGTGCTGATCCTGTTCTCCTGGCACCTGAATTACACACAAAACTGTACCAGGTGGGTAAGGGTGATAAGCGGATTAGAAGAACCCTGAACTATCACAGCACATTCTCCAGAAATTGTCATGGAACCCCAAAATCCAGCCAGAAGGCAGACACGGCCACCACAAGACAATAAACTCTTTTCTCCACAAGGCGCCGTCCAACGCACCGCCTGGCCTTCCTTTTCCTCGGACCAGCCACCGAAAGGCCATGGCATGACGCCAAATCCGTCAGCGCGGTGACTAGAAGCCTAGCTAGACAAGCCACAGCGGAAGCAACATCAAATAACAATAGAAGCACCAGCAGCGTACAGATCCAAGGGACCTAAGGGGACCTCTACGCTGTTTTAGGCAGATCGCCAATCTCGTCACGCGGTAATTCTCCTCTAGCCTACCTGTATCCATCCAGTGACATTGTATGGACAGGACTGGCTGGGGTTGTACAGATATGTGTAGCTCGTCATTAAACTGCTTCCCACCTACTGCCTGTAGTAGGTAGCACCATTGACGTTGCTCGGCAATTCACGCCCTCCGCCGAAGCACGGGGTAGCATCCAGCCGCAGATCGTCTTAGAACAGATGCAAGCATCCGAGACGGTTCATGGGAAGACGCTGATGGGCCGTGCTGGGGGCGTAAGAAGATGACGCGAGTTGCGAGCACGACATAGATATCCTCTGCTAGGTACATGTATGCTGGTATTAGGTATATAGGATAGCAGTGGGCTTGCTAAAGAAGAGCCAAGATGGCTCATGGGCGGTTTACAGCCCGTCTTTGACGATGAATTGCCGTGGTGGGCGGTAGTTTGATGCGATGATCCATGGCTCGGCACGTATCGAGCAGGCAAGGGACAGCGTAGACATGGAGTTGCCCGCAACAGCAGGTCTAGCAAAGCAACCACCACGCGATATCGGCCACAGCTATAAGCTGATCAACCAGATACTATGTCGACATAACCTGGAAACACGTTGCTATTTTTGTGACAACTCAGGACATTTCGAGCAATTCTGCTATTAGAAGAAACAATATTAAACCGCATAAAATTTTAGAAGCACCAGCCAACACGCGCTCCCCAAAGCATTGGCCAGCCATCGTCACCAACACATGGCCAGTGCAATTCAGCAGTATATCCCTCCTCTTTTTTGTCTTTTTATTCGAGCAAAACAAAGTCCAAGCGCATCCCTTCTCCCCTTCAACGTGACCATTTAATTACACTGTATGTACGTTGTAATTAGTCTCCACGACTGCAGTGCACGAGAACAGCTGCATCCCGCAAGATTAAACCGCCTGCCGCACAGACTGCGCCCTCGGCGCAGGGCGAAAAAGGAAACGGATACACGGTGATCAAAGGCTCCTCGCTGTGGGTAACCTAATCTTCCTGTAGCCTTGGACGAGTCCACGTGTTTGTGGGTGTTTGTATGCATGAGATGGAAGCGTCGCGGACTTCTCCGTACGAGATACGGCTACCCTATCATCGGGGCTGATCAGAGACATTCCAACACGTCCGCCTTCCTTTGCCCTGAAATTATTTTTTCTGGCACGAGGCCATCATACCATTAGATCGGCTCGTATGTGTCTTCTTGCTGGATATATTCTCTAGACCAATCCCCTCCATCCACCTCATGCCTGCAGCGCACCATCAGTAGGCATGTACATGACGCCGTCGAGTTGATGTCAAGAGCTAGCATCTCCCTCTTCCGCGACCCAATCACGCATCGCCATTCAACCAGACTCCAGATTCTAGACTCGAGATTGCAGCTTCGTTAGCCATTGATTACATCAGAGCATGTGCGTGTCTGCTCTCTGACTGGCCCTGCGTCGTTCTTTTGGCGCCGACCTGCACACCCACTTTGGCTCTGCTGGCGCTTCTCAGTTTAGCATCGCGCCGTCCAACCATTTGCGAATCACGGCATTGCAATGCTGCAGGAGATGCACATGCAAGAATCTTCTCGTCCCATTTTCCTTGATTCTCCTGCTTTATCTGCAAGCTACTGGCTGTTTACTTGTATCTGCATATACTGTATAGGTACGGGGTACATTCATGGCGTTGTAAGTTGAGATATGCTGGCAGCTCTTCTATGGTTCGTCCTAGCAACTCTTGTGACTGTATGACAAAAGATAAGGTAGGCATCACCCTATCGCTTGTACAAACCGACATCGCCTCTACCGAGCCCCTGATTTACAGCACCCGAGTCGTACCAGATTCCACGGCTCCAGATGCCTTCGCGCCCACGGTTGTGTACGCGTTGCGCGGAATGGATTCGAAACCTGATCCCGTCTGCTGGATAGTGGTAGGCCAGCAAGCCAAAGGGAGCCAGTGACGGAGGTAAAGACAATTGTGTCAATGTGTTTCTGACCTAGGTATCCTTCAAAAGCTAGTGCCGCCTATTTACTTGATACCCCCTCTTTAGAGGATTGCAGCCTTGGAGCTCGGACTCGACAAAAACCTCGTATCTGCCACAATGCATGTCTCAAACAAAGACGCCACCAAAAGACATTTGGCAATACCTTGGCGATGAGCTCAAAGCCCCAGCAGCCTGGTCAGTTGGCACACATATCTCAGTAAGGCTGGAACACTGCTAGTGCCGCAGAACACGGCCATCTGACAGCTTCCGTTCGCGACACGGAGCGCCTCAAACCTTGGACGTCACTCTGCCGCATCTCGATTATGCCCTTGTTGTTAGTCCCGGAGGCCTGAGGTCCCGAGCTCTGACGGGTAGGTATGTAGGTGTCTGGACAGTGAAGCTTACTGTATGCAGCACTTTCTATCAGAGTGCCAGAATCCCAGCCAGTTTTCGACTGCGAATCACCCAGTGGCCGTGCTCTGGTCCCTGGCTCAAGGGCACGGCTCCGTACAGATCCTGTCGACAATCAGAGCATCAGATCCCGTATTACGTATTTCGCCACCTTTGATGCCTATCACGAAACTGAAATAGCAACACCATTAGGCATCATAGATCTCATCACCACTTTTAGATACGATGGTGCCTACAGGTACCATCTCTGTTCTGCTGCCAAAGGGGGTACAAAGGCTACCTGAGAGTACCTAAAAGAGTACCTAACGCACAAGCTGGAGAAAGGACCCCATAGATGGCGTCATGATGGGGCTGACACCTCTCTGTTGACGCCAACCATGATGCTTGCGCCACACCTTCTTACCATCAAACCTTCTTTTTGACGGGGGCACCCGTGCCACGGGTGACAGCCATAGCTTACCAGCCACAGCTCCTATACGGCTTTCCCCTATGCCTCAACCAGTTTAGTCGCATCTTCATTCAACTAAGAACACTGGAATTCAGAAATAGAAACGACGCGGCGTCGAGCCACAGCGGCTGTGCAGCTCTAGCTAAAGATTCACAGCTGAGAATACTCCGATCAAAACGGAGAATTAGGGAACATTCTAAATGAAGAGAAAAAACGGTCTCTTGTTTAGGCATCATGCTGAGATTCATCCCAAGCCCAAGGTACCTAGAGAGAAAAATTGCAAAATTTAGACTCGTCATTTTCTTGCCCATGTCTACAGCCTTGGACCCCCTTCCTCGTTTCAACATCAGCCTCGAGCGTTTCAATCACCGGACGGCTCGCTGGAACCCCAACCGTGCCCCCCCCCCTTGGCCGACAGGAACGTTTGTTTGACGATTGTTTCTTAAATGATGACCTTTTTTTCTTTATCGCCCAGTTAAACGCCAAGGCGAAACGAAACCTGATACACGGCACGGTGGGCTCTCCCACGTGGGCGTGATAGGTTTTTTTTTTCTCTTATCTTTTGCGCAATGATATGTTTTAGATATATAGAGATTTATAGGTCAGGTACTTTGAAGATGTACCTATATTTCGTCTGTTTGCAAGATGTGCGTAACACATGAGGCATACAACAGTCAACACGTGCTGTTACTTATCCCCTGTCCATGACTGCCATTATTCTTCCCTTTCCTTTTTCAATAACAGCAAATCTTTCTGAAACACATAGGTATCTAAATGGAATGGGTAAAATACAGATAGATGGAATAGATAAGCAGGCCGGCAAGCAAGCATCGTACGGAAGCTTCCTCAGAAGCTGACTGGTTAACCGCCGGGGATACCCACCCCTCCCCATTTCAAACGCCCACCTGAGCCAGTTTCATCCTTCATTAAATAGACTAAACAAGATCGAAAGCAGCCTAATCGACCAAAGAAAAAAATGTCGTGCCTGATGCCCATACAGTATTCACAGTATCGCAGCCCTGAAAAGATACTTCCACAAGACGTAGGCTGTGGGAAGCTAAAATTTCAAAAAGCCATCTTTCAGAGTCTCCCTACACGAACTCAAAAAGAGTAACTTCAAATTCAGCTAAGCCTCTTTCTTTATCATCAGCTCTAAATCGGGAAAATACCTTATTCTTCGTACTCCACTACTTGGCTCAAGAGAGTAAAAAGCCACCAAAAAAATGTCATACTGGTACCGCCTAGTTGGTTCGGCCGGAGAATGACTAACACCACATGGCGCTGCCATAAGCTTATCGTCACGCCTCACACACCCGGCTACAAATAGAACTCATCATATGATAAGGTTAAATCGATCGCCTTAATGCAGGTCAACTTTTTGGCTGCTATAATAAGCCACGGATGACGGACCTTCCGTAATGCTAGAAAACAAACCGGCCGTATACCGCACAAAAATACGCAAAAAAAAAAAAAAGAGAAGCACGCCAAGCCAAAGCCAAAGAACTTGTATAGAAACAATATCGACGTCAACAAACATTATGAACCGACTGTTAATGTACCCCTAGTATAGTCCCAGATCCTTCAGTCTTGTGTGTTTTCTATATTACAGTGACTACTAAAGATTAGAAATTGATGATGACAGGGATGAAATAGGAAATAGAGAAATCAAGGCATAAACCACAATTTGCTACCATCAATCATCATGCCTAGTATGTGCCTCATGACCAAAGCCCCATGACACCGAAGTGGGCAAATTCCCTCGAGAAGGAGAAAAACAAAAGACGAAAAGACAGAAAAAAGGAAAATCAAGGCCAAAGTGATGGCGGCGGCCGTAGAGAATCCCCGCCGCTGCTTGAAGGCCGCCAAGAGTCCGATGCAGCAGATCCCCTGCGCCCAAATTCATCTGTCATGCCGGGCGGTGGAGGCAGAGGCAAGAATAAACCGCTGCCGTCTCCGACCATGATACTACGTCGAACCTCTCCTCGGTTCCATCCCTCTCCGGTGACATCTGCCGCCAGACCGTAGCTGCTGACGGGGCGTCGCAGCGCGGGGCCAACCGCGGTTAATGCGTCAACTTTGCTGAAATTCCATTTACCAAACTCGTCCGTCTTGGTGTACACTTCGAGCGTGGTGACTGGCGGCGGAGCAGCAGGTCGCAAGTGCGCCGCAAATGGGTTGTTGGAGCTGAATCGATGTGCTGCCGGAGCACGAGGCATAAGCTGCCGGGGAGACGGAGATTTGGGAGAAGTCGGAGAGGCAGGAGTGTTAGCATATGGGTTGTAGGTAGGAGATGCTGGCATTCCTGCATACGCCATTCGAGTGCTGTGAGTTGAGTTGTGAGACGGGGTTCGCATATGTGCTCCCCCGAGGCCTGGGTTGGGAGGAGGCAGCCCCTGAAGCTGCTCGGGGAATGACTCATCGTGAACATAGAGCCTGCGCAGCTTAGGCATAGACCCCGAAAGGACAGATGAGGCAAGATAAGTGTACCAGCTCGCCTTCATGCTGGCATATACCTCCTTATCTGACTCGGTAGAAATCTCGTAGCGCAGAATTTCGAGGCTCTGAGATGCGAGCAACTCGATGCCTGCGTTCTGCGGAAATGCTTCAATCACCTTGGCCTGCATGGCCAGAGTCTTCAGATACGGCGCCATCGTCAAGATCTCTTGAAGTCTTTGCGGGTGGACGCCAGTATCGATCAGCGTCAGGACCCGGAGTCCACGCTGTGTCTCTGGCCAAGCAAGATATTCGATAAGGCCGGCAGCTGTCACTCGAGGCGTTGCTTCCATTACAAATTCCTCCAACGAGGGCATGATAGGCCCCGTTCCAGCCGTCAGCACCTCATCAGAGATGCTCTCCGTGTCGGTCATTTTCAGAGCCCGAAGGTTTTGCAACGAGCTCAACACCGCTCTCATAGTCAGGGTGTCGACGCTGATGCCATTTAGCTCTAAAACCTCAAGTCGAGGCCATACTTGGCCCGTAGCCAGCGCTGCTAAGCTCCGCTCCGAGCCCGCGTTGTACGTCATCTTTCGGATGTTGGGACATCTGGCTTGGACTTCAAATCGTAGCGTTGAGCTGCTCGACTCATCCGAGAACATGCCCTCTGGTAAATCGACATACTTGAGACTGGGAAGAACGGCAATGGTCTGAGCCAACTCGACCTGGCAGTACTCGCGTACCTGGTAGGGCGTCTTCAAAAACTCAACTTTTTTGCCAAGACGGGTTGGGTCTTCGCGAACAGTGCGTCGGAATAGTCTCAGTCTCGCTTGAGCTGGATCCTCGGGAATGGCATTTCGGTCAAATCTGGTCTGCTTGCGTCTCTCGGCCAGCCAAGCTTCAAGTTTGCAGTAATGGACCTGGTCGATCCGAACGCTGTGATACCTGAAGAGGGAGTCAGCCAGGAAACATGCCTGAACAGTCTCGGCACGGGGCCAAAGTCTCAAAGAGCAACTCACAATGACTTGATGGCTGCTTCATGCCAGGCTCTATTCACCTGTGAACAGTGCGCCAGGTCGCGCAGGTCACACAGCATGCACCCGTCGTCGTTTCCGCTCTCCTCACACGCATCGTAGGTCTCATCGCGAGAATGGGGGCAGACGAAGCCAAATATCCGCCCAAGAACCGTGGCTGGGAGAACGGCGACGAGCTGACTCGACCTCACACTCGGAGGAAAGAATGGCTCCCGGCTGGTACTAACAGGGCGGCGCAATCCAGGAGGGCTCGCGAGCTCCAGCTTCTTCTTGTCCTTCCGCCGAAAGAGGAACCTCATGGTGATGATGAGCTGATTGTTCCAAACCCCAAGCGCTGCTCAAGCCAAAACGAAGCCAAACTGAGGCGGTAAAGGTATTGTGTGCAGAAATACAGATGCAAGAAAAGGACGAAGCTGGCCAAGGTGGTAGACGCGTAGCGAGAGGCTGTCAAAGAAACGAGAAACAAAGAAGCAAGAGACAGAAAGAGAAAGAGAACGAGCTGAAAAAAACAAGCAAAAGAGCTGACAACGAAACGTCTAAGAAAGCGTGACAAGAAGCGATGCTCTCGACTGGTGCTGATGATTGAAACTTGTTTTGCGCATTCCTTGCAGCTTTGTGCCCCACGAACAATCCACGAGGCTGAAATCGGGGTCCCCTCCAGCCCAGCCCGCGAGAAGCAGCGACTGGTTCAGAGGCTGCTGATGTCCGTCGCAAGCAATGCAAAGAAGTAGAAAGAAAGATACAGAGACAGAATCGAGGCTTGAGGCAACAAAGAAAGTAATTGTGACAAATTTATGTTGAGCGTTTATTATGGCTATTCTCCCAGTCCAAAGTAGAGGCTGGGATTGAATGCCTTGGCAGGAGAAACGAAACAAAAGTTGGGTAGCAAAAGGCGAGGTCAGGATCCAAATGCCAATTGGCAAGTCGATGTTTATCCCATTGCCTTGCCGCTGTGGCGTGCGGAAGCAGTCCCGTCCAGGGGCAAGAGAAACACCTGGCAGCGCCCGAACAAGCCTCTGAAGGGGGGGGGGGGGTACCCCCAGCCTGGCGGACGCGGTTTCAGCGGCGCGGCGCCCTGAGAGCCAGTCTTTTTCCCCGCATCATTTCACGGCCGCTGGAATCCGCGCCAGTTGGCAGCCAGGCGCTAATATGCACTGGCCCTGTGGCCGGGCTGTGCCGCCGCTGGGTGCATGTTTGCCTGTGCTCCTGGGCCATGGCAATTTCACAGTTGCAAGTCCTTTCTGGCCTGGTCCAATCAATGCTCCGGGATTGCGTTTGAAATTACGAGAAGCTACCTTGCATTTGCAGCTGCAATTGAGCAAGCCTACTTTATTGTTGACTTTATGCTTTGTGCTCGCAAATATGCTTAAATGATCCAACGGAACACGACCCATTGCCGGCATCTCGTGTTGACGTAACGTTTACTTGTATTCACTATCTCTCAGCATCTATTCATCCATTGCACTAGATTTCAATGCCCATTAGTGTATATTGACACGTGCTCACGTAAAAATAGAAAAGGTAGACAGACGTATCTTTTAATTGCATTAACACTCAAGACACCGAAACAACGGATTTATCAACACTTGTCCCATACCGCCCATCTATCTAACTCATCTCCCGGATCAGGAGCATGCCAGGTGAATGAAGTATACATCCAAGTATAATACAGTATAAAGGCAGAAGATAATTAATAAAACGAGGCCAGGTTGGCATGACTTTCCTGGCCCGTGACGCTGCCATTCCATGTGCAGCCCAGCCTACCCGGGACGTTTCTCATAACAATAACTGCCTAACCTGTCCTACGCCTCCAGTTTTTCCCCAAATTAATCCATATACCCGTCGTCGACCGCCCGTTGTCATAGTTCGCAGAAGACATGTCATCATCGCATAGGGCGATTCGTATTAGTTCATTTGCTGGAAATGTCCTCATGTCCAAAACAGAGATTAAAATTGTATAGTCCCCTTGCAGTAGAAAATGCTCCAGATTCATAAAAAAAAGTAGAATGCTCGGCACCATTACAGTGCTTGAGCTGTTTGACCATTGAAGTCTTATGATCGAGACATGGTTGCGCCCTTATAAGACATCTTAATGGCATCAGATGTGGCCAATTTAAGCCTTGCGGGACCTAGCAGTGGCACTGTTGGTCTTGGCACCAGTGGTAGTGCCATTGGTCTTGCCGCTTGAGTAGGTAGCCATGTGGACAGGGTCGGGCAGAGGAGCTTGGCTCATGCGTCGCAGGGACTTGCGAGTAGTAGTCTTGCCGTCCTTCTTGTAGGTGGCGAAATAGAAGGAGATGAAGAGGACCAGGTATGAGCTGAGGATACCCATGCCAGCAAAGGCAGCAAATTCCTCACCGGCGCACTTGCCAGCATTGGGCATGGAGGGGAAGTAGGTCGAGGTGAAGTAGGTGTAGGAAGCGAAGTAGACGAAGCCTGTTTGTCAAATCCAAATTAGTCAATGATCGAGAGGATGCGAGGGGGAAAAAACACAAAGACGGCGATAAGTCACTTACCCAAGTCAATGATGAATTGGATGATCTGGAGACGAGTAACCCACTCCTTCCACCAGATCTTGACGCCACGAGCGCTCTGGAAGTAGTACCAGTACATGACAACGTGCACAGTCAGGTTGAGGATAATGGGAACCCAAGAGACGGAGGTCAAGCCAATCAGCTGAGTGTAGCAAAGAAGAGCGGTGGCTCCGTGGTGGTAGCAGTGGAGGAAGGTCAATGGCTTCTTCTTAAGGAACAAGAAGACGGTGTCGAGCAGCTCAAGGTACTTGGTCAGGTAGTTGAGCTAAATAATCATCCATTGTTAGCACATACCGCCACGTTTCGTTTTCAACAAATTTACTTACGTAGTAGAGAACAACCAGAGGCTGAGTCCAGCCGCCCTCGTGGTTGCAGATGGCAAAGAAGATACCCTTGCGGACAACAGTGGGCAGAAGCTGCTCAATGAAGAGAGCCAAGAGGAAGCCGCTGATGGCGGTCAGGTAGAAGTTGTGGATGAGGAAGAGCGCCTTGAGCTTGAAGGGCTCGCGGTTGCGCATCAGCTCTCGGCCGCCGAAGATGATGAAGTAGTAAATGACGATGAAGATGGACGTCGACTTCAGCGTGGACATGGGAGTCTCAAAGGGCACAAACTCGAAGTCATTGGCCGAGTAGCCAACGACGGCCGTGAAGAGCTTGTCAAAGATGGGCCATAGGTGGATGCCGAAAGGGCGATCGAGCGTAGGGAGCGGCAGCTGCTCGTAAAACGTAGCGGGAGCCGACATGATGGGCAACGGTGGTTTCGGACCAGATTCCTGCGATTCAATTGAAGAGAAGAGAAATCTAGTGAACACGCGACGCGAAGAGACGACCTCCCAAAAAAGTATTAAAGAAAAAAAAGGGGATTGCAATTGCAATTGCAGTCCGTAGATTTTAATCGAGGCAAAAAAAAAATTGCACACCGAAGGAATGACGAGAAGAGGAGGGAAAAGATCAGAGTCGACAAAGCCAACCAAACTCCGAGACGAAGACAATGGCAACTCTCTCGCGGGGGGATGGAGGAGAAGGAGGAGAAGGGGAAAAAAAGATTGGAGGGCAGAAGAAATAGTGTTTGGTAATACTCGGCACGGGAGCGTCGCCAGTATCAAGTACGCGCGCCTCTCCACTAGCACTAGCATAGTTTAAGGCGCCTCATCCCCTATTCCAGAGTGGAAATTTGGCTGCAGTGAGGCCAAGTGTACATCTGGCCTTTGGCGCATGTGATTGGGCACTATCGGAGATGGGCAAAAACTGAAGTAGGCACTCACGCGGGGACAGAAAAACAGGGGATGCGAGAAATTTAGCACACACATGTCGATATAACGCACATACAATCCTATGAATCAATTGCTTTAAAATGGGTTTCTGCTACCTGATCTGTACGCACGTAATCATTCTATGCTGCTTGCCTGGTTCTGCAGAATGTACACTTCTGACGCTTACACGTGACCTCGGCCCGGGCAGGGACTCAGCTGTGCTGCCGGATCCCACGTAATTTCGGCGCTGCGCGGACGCCGGAAGCGAATGCGATGGGATTTAATTATTGAAGAAGGCAGAAGCAAGGAACGCCCGAAGCATTAGTACATAAAGCGAGCATATTGGGATTCCCGATACGACAGAATGAGGTCAATTCATGCAAGGGCGGCGGCTGAAAAGTTCCATGGTGGGAGCTGAACGCCCAGGTTTGGTGGCGGCCTCGTGCTCAATTTGCCCAAGACCTTTAAACGACCTGAAAATATTTCGTGATCTGTGAAAGCTTTACCAATTAGGTCTTTGCATGCATGGCAGCCAGTGATACTATCAATTGGCATCAGACAATTGATTGAAAAGCGTCGGAGGACCCGAGACGAAGAAAGCAGATGCAGAAGCGCCGCAATTGGCAGCACGGCGATCCCGACGCACTTCCGTGGCTGGCATCATCTTAGGCCGTACCCGAGGATTTCTTACCATGTATGTAAAGTCCTCGGCTGCCTATACTTGAAGCTTATAATAACACTGCTCAGCTCACGGTGGCCTGTAAACTGGCAGTATTGACAGAGCTTTAGAGCTTTATCAATCTTGCAACGCTGCTGCGGAGATGCTGCTTCCATCTGATAGCCTATCGCTCGGCATGGACCTTTCGTCTCGGCATCAGCAGCTCGCAATGGCGGTCCTCTCGTCGAACGAATGAAATTTGGCTTATTGAAAAGTAGCATTCCAGTCCGTACGCGCCCGCACAGTCTGCACTGTCCACACAGACGCCAATTCATACCAGCGCTCAGCCCCGCCATAAAACCAATTCGTACTGTGCCATCTCCCTCCGCCTTTGCCCGGATAATCAGGCAATCCCCACCGCTTAGTCATCCCCGCCGCCTCTCAGACGATTCTTTGCTCCAAAACACCTCTGCCAATCTAGCCAAAGGCCTAAAACGCTCTAAACACCAAAACTCCTCTCTCTTCTCTTCCCCAAAAAAGGGCTCGCTCTTCTCTCTCTCTCAATTCTTTCTTCTCTTCCAGCCATGCAGTCCGCCGCCCTGTTCCGCGCCGCCACTCGCGGCTCCTCCATGGTCCGCGCCGCCGCTCGACCCGCGCCTTTCGCCGTCCGCTCGGCCGTCGTCGCTGCTCGGCCGTTCAGCATCTCTGCCTCCCGAAAGGCCGAGCACGCTGAGGAGACCTTTGAGGAGTTCACTGCCAGGTGAGGATCGCCATAGACGCCCTTCATTTTTTATTTTACGCATCGACGGCACGGCGATTGGGGCGCAATGCGCTGCGGGAAGAGAAGAATGTATACAACGCAAAGAGGAGGGAAAAAAATAAAGTGGGCGGCAGATTGGGACATTTACAGCTTTTTTTTGGTGGTCGTCCGGGGGAGGGGAGGAAAAGCGACCCAATCAACGACGCTCTACATGCTGCTGTGCTACGCTATGCATACCGAATAAACCTGTCCAGTGGCTGACGAAATTTATGACCAAAATCACAGATTCGAGAAGGAGTTTGATGCTGTGCAGGACGTCTTCGAGCTCCAGGTAAAAACCGACCCTCCACAAAGCTCCAGCTTGAGAATCGTATGATTTGCTAAGTCATCTTTTAGCGCAACCTCAACAACGCCTTCGCCTACGATCTCGTCCCTTCACCCTCCGTCGTCGCTGCTGCCCTCAAGGCTGCCCGAAGAGTCAACGACTTTGCTACCGCCGTCCGCATCTTCGAAGGTAATGGCCTACCCTCACCCATCTTTCGCTGTGTTGAATTGAGGAGTCACCGATGTCCCCACCTTTGATATACACATATATCCTCACGTATATATGCATGAGAGAAGCTTGTTGAGTCATTCATATGCACCTCTTCATGCCCTTAATCTTATGTGTTTTCACCTTTTCCTTCTTCTCCTACTTCTTTTCGGGGATATCAAATTACGTCATTCTGTCAAAGGCTAGTATGCTAACACAGCCTTCTATAAACAGGCATCAAGGCCAAGGTCGAGAACAAGAACCAGTACCAGCAGTACCTGGACGAGCTCAAGCCCCTGCGAGAGGAGCTTGGCGTCGAGCTGAAGGAGGACCTCTACCCCGAAGAGAAGTAGATTTTCTTACTGTCCAACCGAGGATTTAAGAGAAAAAGAAAAGAAAATCTTGTTCAGAGTATTGTACATGGTATTATTCATATTTGGAGTGAAGGAAGAGAAACAGCGAAGGTGCTAGACGGTTGATGGAGAAGGGAGGCTAGTAGCGGCATCCCAAACCAATGTCTTATTATAGTTGATGAAGCACGTAGTGTATACTGCTCCCTCCTGTTGGTTACAACGTCTAGTTGTCTCAACAAATCTTAAAATCAAAAAGAAGAAAAAAACAAGGGTTCATAGATTCCCCTTACTGTGCTATATCTTTGGGCTATACTGCAAATGCTACACCCAACTTGCTCAATTTATTTGTTAATAGCGCGTGCTACTTAGATCTGCAATTCGGCTCTTATATAATGCCCTGAGCAAACCTTTCTTTATATACCGTTTTTATGTAATGTATCCATCTCGAACCCTGCAGTAAGGCAAACTACCTTGATGACCAATACCCTATTGAAGCACAAATAAAGAGACAGGGGAAAAAAGACGAATGCCTTGAAAAAGACGCAATCAAAGAAAAAGAGAAAACAAAAAGGAGAGCGTGGAGATACAACGCCCCCTTCCCTAGCCGCAAGCACCAAACAGCTCAATATGAAAAGAAAGGAAAGAAATTATAAGTTGCAAGTCCACTCCAGTCCCCGATCGCAGTTCAACGTCATAAACGCACCTCACCTCCTCCCTGTTATCCTCTTAAGTGATCCCATCGGCCATTTCCTGGCTGTTGGCCATAGAACTGCATGCCTTCGACGCCAGCTCCCGAGGCCGGGCTAGCCCCTCTGCTAGCTGGGCCTCCGTATGCTCGGGAAATTGTTCGTGGGCTCATCATACCCATGCGTGGACTCCGAGGTACGCTAGACTGTCGAGTCTCCCGCCGTCCATTCTTTAGCTGTCGTAGCTCCTCACGAGCACGATCTAGCTCTATCTCTCGCTCTTTGACTTGAAACTTGAGCTCTGTGATCTGGTCGAGATACAACTTGGTAGTATTCCGCTCTTGGATCTCATGAATTCGAGCAAAGTTCTCAGAAGCCTTTTTAGCCAGGTCATCGTTCTGGCTTCTTAGTTGGTTATTTTCTGATTTCAAGCTAGAAGCCGTATCGGCTGCGTCTTGATACAAGCTCCGAATATATTCTGCGTCCTTGTGGGCGTTCTCTAAGCGCTTCTCAAGGTAGATAACCTTAGCCTGTGCTTCCAGCAAGAGGCTTTCAGATTTTGCCAAAGGTGTATCCTGTGGATTAGAGGCATTGGGGTCTTCTGTTAGTCGAGCCACGGTAGCTTCTAGCTCTAGAATTCTCTGCTTTGCTTTTTCGGCCTCCTTCCCGGACTGATTTGTTGCAGACTGCATGGCAGATTCAATTTTGCGCTTCTCAGTCTCGAACCGAGAACGGTCTTGCAGTGCAGCACGCTGTGACTCGTACATCTTGTGCGCTGTTCTCTCATAATCCTTGAGCCGCTTTTCAAGGCCCGAAATAACGGATTTGTATTCTGCCTCGTGATCGTTCGCTTCTATGCGACGTTCGTACTCGGCAAACTATGCAAAGTTAGACAAAATCTTTTCAAAAAGGAGGACATGATATTAGACATACCTTTTCTGCCAAGATTTGCAGGACTGCTTGGGGAACGTTGACGGATACTTCTGGGCGAGAAGTATCCTCTGTTGGCATGGCGCTTTCCAATAGAGCTTTCACTTCGTCAGATAATGGAGGCCTGCCCGTTCCAATTGACGAGGAAATTTGTCCAATAGAGAGCACTCTTGGTCTCTTGCTATCAAAGTCGTCAAAATCATTCTAATGAGCCATATGAGTTAGTTTTTCATAATCATATACCGCGCTGTTCCCCAACTACTGAAGGCCGCCTTACATGTTTGCGTTTTCGACCAGTTTCCCGGTCTTGCTGTGAGATTGTCGATGGCATCTGTAACTGTGACTGAGTATGGACATAAACGTCAAGGATTGCCTCTGGGACAGGTATTGGGTCCCACATCGGCGTGTCTTCATCGCTTGCTAGGAATTGTAGGAACAAAGCAGCAATCTCATGTGGTTCTTGGTAGCCGTGGTTAGGACTCTCCACCAGATTCCAAGCGCGCACAATCGTAGAGATAAGGACGCTTTTTCGCTCCATTGGAGGCAAGTCTTCTGGTATGTGGAGGTCGATATGCTCAATTGAATGGGTTGTAACGAGTACCAAGATAAGCTGTCGTCTATTGGCACTGGGGTTTCTTGATAGCCCTTGAGCAACAGAAGAGTGCCTGAAGGAGTGGTCATATCCGATCACGACATCAAAGTCCCGAGAATCGATGTCTTCAGTTGGTAGCGCTAGGACCAATCTAGAACTTGAGCCACCAGTCGAGACATCTGATCTGCCAATGGCTTCACAACTGAATTGCATCTTGAGAGACTCTGCCAAGTGAGAAAGGAGCCGAAGGAGCTCTGGCGAGCGAGCGACAATTAAAATGCTGGAATGATCCTCAATTCCACTCAGGAGTTCAAATATGAAATTGAACTTTGGGTTAGCATCGCAGCAATATTTAGCTTGCTGTGCTGGAGGCAGCCTTTCAAGGTCACTTCCCACAATGTTCTCAGGGTAATCACACACGTTCAACAAGTTATTGAATAGCTCGTTGATACGATTTACTAGTGATGGATCCGGTTCTGAATAGTCTTCGCCGCTGAAACACCTGTTAAACTCCAAGAAAGGAACTCTGTACTCAACTATTATGTTGTTGTACCTCTGGCGAAGACTTGCTTGGAATGGGAGTGTCACTGTATGCTGTTGGAGCGTAGCTGGTGAGGGCTGTGCAGCTGGTGGAGATGCCGATGATTCCGTAGGGCTGGGTTCGCTATGAACTTGCTCGGAATGTGTGACATCTGAGGAAGGCTCCGGCATCAGGGGTTCATTCGAATGCGTAAAGGACAGTAGAGGGATATCTTTATAAGCCGGTTCCGGTTGGCGACTTATGTCCGCAAGGGAGACTGTGGTTTGCTCTGCCTCTATGGGTTCTGCTTGTACAGGTTCAGGGACAGATTGCGGCTGTCCCGACCCAGACTCGCCAAAGACTGGGCTGAATATATCAGCCAATTCTTCAGCAACGGATCTCCGAGGAGCTGAGGGCCGCGATCTGGATGTTGTAGTAAGACCACTGTCGTTGTCGTGTTCCGTCTCATTAGATACTGCTTCTACATTCTCAGAAGGCGCTTTTTCTTGAATAGAAAGCGGTCCAACGCCAAGGGGCAGTGGGGACGACTGCATGGGTAGCTCGGTATTCGTATTACTTGTGCCTTCCTCAGCTGGCGTAATATGCTCTTCTTGCACCCCCGTCGAAGGCTGATTCGGTTGCGTCTGATGCGACTCTGGAGAAGTAGACCCACCGTCGAACTCATCTAGGCGAAATATTGCAGAAAGCTCTGCATCCAATCTCCGTTGTATCCTTTCGGAAGTTTGCTCGGGAGTTTCGTTTTCCATCTTTCGAACTTTGAAAGTATTCAGAGGGGTAACTGGCTTAGACTGTGGGCCCGTAGCCGCTGCTAGACAGCTTATTCCTGATGCTGAGGCTGGTTGTGGAAACTCGATAGTCTTTGGTAGGCGAGCTGAGGCCGAGAAGAGACTTTGATCTCTCACGTTGATAGGCTGATGAGGCGTAGTTTGAGATTTGGGCAAACTTCCCGAAGACTCGCTTTCTGTAAGAGGCCGTGATAGTATATCAAAGTGGCGAGAAACTATTTGAGCAGCTTGAGATGCCCCTGGATCCGATGCAGATGGAGTGCTAGAGCTGATACTGGACACAATCTCTGCGACGGGATGAGCAGGTGACTCGAAAATTCGGCTGGTTAAAGAACTCTCCAGATGCTCCAAGACAGGTGGGATTGGTGGCTGGGTAAGAAACCTTGGGCTTGCGTCTGATTGCGTGATGACAAGTGCTGACGACCCCGAGGATATTACAAGTTGTGATGCGCAGGCTGCTGGTGTGCCGTGTGATAGCGATGGAGACAGAGCGGGGCTGTTTGCTTCTGGGATCTCCTCTGGTCGATCAGGCTGATGAGAAGGGATGTCTGAGCTAACAGTATCATGAAGCTTTTGAATGCGACCCTCAGATACCTCCCCCTCAGTTACCCTACCAGACGGCTGGGAGGTTGATGTTGAAGGATCTTCAAGAGAATCTGGAATGACACGAGAGCTTGACTCGGGTGAACAGCCTTGAGGCTGAGATTGAATTAATCTAGAAGATGACTGGAGCAGCCCCTGTGGAATAGGGTTCTGATTCCAGGATCGGTCTGTATCTTCCAGGGAGCTTAAATGGGTTCTTTGGCTGCTTGGTACAATGGAGACACGACTATCCTCGCTCTCAAGCTCGGCGAGAGACTGCGTGGATTTGACAGTCGACTGCGAGCCAAGAACGCTCAGATAATCAGCCCGGTTGATATTTGAGTTCTTTGGGATCTCGACTATCAGAGCCGAGGCAGCTCGTGTGCGATTTCCTGATATGTCTACGTCTGGTAGATCTGGAAGTTCGGAAGGGGTGGAGATTGAAGGCGATGAGACAAGAGATGCCCCGGGCTCGTCGCACAGAGATTCGCACGTCTCGCTTCTGATAACTTTACGAGGGCGGATAGAAGATGAGTCGGAAGAAGATGAAGCTATAGAGGCTGAGCGTTTACGCTTCTGCTGGGATGCGTTGACCTTTACTGGACGACGCCGGTGAGCAGGTCGCGGCGGCTGGCTCGCGTCACTCTCTTGATCTAACACGGGCTCCTGCTGCGCTTGCCGTTCCTGGTGATCTGGCAGCTGCACTGCTGACTGCTGGCCTTGCTGTTCCTTTGGATCCGACTCTGGCTCTGAGTCTGACGCTGGCTTTGGCTGGAGCTGTTGCTCAAGCTGCTCGTCAATCAGCTCTTGTTCCTGGCGGTCCTTTTGAAGACGCTGAGCCTTGACCCGTTCCCATTCCTGTAGGGCCAAAGTCGTGACCTCAGTGCTCTGTACATGTAGGTTAGCGAAATGTCTATCTGCGCGCACAGGCTTATACGCGATGAGCATCATGTTAGACAAACCCAGGTGGGATCATATGCTTGCCCGGTGACGGCGTTATCGTCCCATTCGACAAAATACTGAACACGACCTCTCACGGTCTTCTCATCAATGATGCGTTTGATGGTGTACCAGCCTAGGTCCTCTTCAGCGGGCGGCTTGCGATTCTTGGACTTCTTTGCGGCTCCTCTGCGTGACCTCGGCATTGGCTTGAATGAGATGAGTTAGCGGGCAGAGTGCGTTGCCTTTTCCGCTGCGAACGAACCAGCTCTGCGGCACAGAAGCTGCTTCTGGTGTTGCTGCTAGCCCAGACGGCCTGCGCCAAAAAGCCTGGCGACAGCGCTCGACGCTGGAGAAAGGATGTAAGTCGAGCGCACGGCGACGATTGGAGAGACGAGGCTGAGGTGCGCCAGCGGCCCACAACGACGATTTGAGAAGGTCTGACAAGGGAGATGCAACAGGAGTCTCTTAGCCAGGGAGCTGACTGGCTAATCACGTGGAGGCGCCGGCTCTAAATTCCAGCGAGTCAAAAGGCGCTGGTTGGCGGGGCGAGACGCTGAGGAAACGCGCTGGCGATGATGATCTCTGGACCGAAGTGTCTGGGGTGAAGATGATAAGAATAGCGGTGATCGGGTGGATAAAAAGATGGAGATGGGCTGTCAGTGGAAAGAGAGGTGATGAAAATAAAAAGAAGAAGAAGAAAAAGTGCTGCAAAAGAAAGAGTCGAGGCTTGGCCGTTGGTTGATGAGAGAAGGCGTGGACGAAAGTTGAATGTTGGAAGAAGAAAGAATCTCGTTTGGACCTCAACGACGGCTTTTTACAACCGTTTGGGCCCTCCCTAACGTGCTTAAATAGACTGCCAACGTAAACGCCTTTTGGGTCACCCATTCAAGGGAAGAAAAAAAAAGGCAAGGTAAGGGTGCGTGCGTGTGCACAATCTGAACAGCAAGTCATTTCCTCGTCACCTTTGCCAGTTCTTTGAACATGTAGCCGTTCATCCACTTTTCCTGCCTGCTGAGAGGTACCTTGCCTGGCTGATAGATTCAGTGCATGAGCAACGCTGCCATGCAAAGACCCATACAGTAGTATCTAGTACCGGCCCCAACATGAGCCAATGCGCAGAACTGACATTCATCTGATCGAGGTGACAAACAACTGAGCCACGGGCCACTTCATGCTTTGTGCGTCAAAAAGTGCCGTTGCCCATAGCTGTGTACCTGGAAGGCGGCATCAAGGCAGTATTTGGTCACATGCATAGATGCAGGTAGATAGCCATGCCCCCTTTCAATTACATGCTTTAATTTGAGAGGTAGTACAGAAATCCCACACCGACGAACTGGCACATTTCTCTCTCTTCATTTGGACAACTGCGCAGCAGGTGTGTACCTTAGAACATAACAGTAGTGCTAGGTACATGTACCTAGAGTTCCGTGTGATTTCCCAAATCCGCCTCTTATAGACCCTCGTCAAACATAGTCACGATGTAATAAAAGCACCCCCAAAAAATTAAGATTGGAATATATAGTCGTTTTTAGATCGGCTGCTGACCCGCGGTGGCGTCTCGATCCATCTTGGCTGCATGAAAGCTGCACGTCTGCCGCCGGCAATCCTTCAATCTTCATGCCAGTACCGGGTGCTTTCTTGCACTGTATCGACTGGGCTCTAACCTTAAGGGAACCGCCATTGACGCTTTACCGCTATTGCTGTGCTCCCGCAAGCGTCCAAACGCGCTAAGAGCAACCTCTCTCACTCACCTTATTTCTACCTCTCACATGCCAACAAACACCTGTCGATCATCGTTAATTAGTGTATGGCAATAACTTCAGATGCGTTGTGTCTGTGGCTCCCAATATGACCTCCAATTTCTCCATAGAGCCGTTGATGCGGTTTTCAGGCGATAGTCAGCCTGTGCGGAGGCCCAAGGTGAGTACCTAGATGTACTTTGAAGAAGCTGCGTTGAGCCGAAATATGGCACCTGGTATATTGGTTTCTGTATAACAAGGGGAGGATTTCGGGGGAAAAAAAATCGTTTGAGCACAAGCTTACATGCTATTTGATAGGAGTTTGCGTGCTTCTCGTACGATGAGAATCATGAATATCGCCCGGATGATTCATCTATAAAATACTACTATCCTCCTCAGCTTGGGGCGGATCTGTCTCGTGGATTCGATACTTTTGTCAAGCATGACGATTCTAAAGCTGAACATCTCGACAGCTTGCTGAAAACCATCGTTTCTCATGAGCAGGAGACTAGAACCAGGATCGATGCGAATATAATCACATGGAGAGGCATGATGACCAAGGTACTGTTTATTTTGTCCTTTGCATCGTTATATCTCGGCATCATTCAACTCCTGATTTACATATCCCAAAATCAGATCAGCGACAGAAATCAGAAAGCAGTATTTTGTAACTCACAATTGCTCGTACTAGATATTGGCTGCACCGTTTGAACGCTTTGACGGGTAGCATTCCACTCCATCCCAATTAGACCTCATCATAAAGCACCCATCTGACAAACAATAGTTTTGAGATGAATGCCACTTTATATCAGGTATGTTCGTTCTTGATACGTCCCTGGCTTTTAGCTCTATGTTTAACCATTATAATATGTTATAGGGCACAATGTGCGTAGCGCGAAAAGAAGTTACCTGCTATTAGCTAGCTGCTGACTCTGGTATAGCTTCATCGAAGAAAACCACGAGCAAAAGATGCTCTCAAGGCAAAACGAAGACCGTGGGAAGCCTAGACGAGGGCCACCTCTCGATGTGATGCAATTTTGGGGTGAGCATAGGCATTATCTGCTGCCGTCATCATTTACCAATTAACTCATCCAAAAAAGGATATAAGTTCGAGACGCTATCTACACTCCCATCTCCTTGGGCGGAAACATCAAGAGACTTCATCGAAAGCCGCGAGAGGCAAATCGTCAACAACAAAGAACAGTACTGCTCCATTGTCCGAACAGGTATCGGCAAGACTATCCTCTGCCTCGGAGGCGAAGTCGACGCAAGTAAGTTTCCCAGCGAATTCTTTCGCCGCCATGAGTTTGTAGATGAAATGTTGAAGCTAAAATATAACGCCAATCAACAGTATGGGACACCAAGCCTCAAGACAAAGGAAGCCCCATCAACTGGGTTGAGCTCAAAACCACAGCCGAGATTCGCCACAACGGCGACATAGAAAACTTCCACCGCAAACTCATGAAGTATTGGATCCAATCCTTTCTATTAGGCGTCCCAAAGATCATCGTCGGTTTCCGCACGCGTGACGGCATCCTTGTAGATATCAAGGAGATTGATACGCACAACATCCCGCAGACGGTAAATGCGCGACCGAACCCAGCCTGGAATGCTGACATCTGCGTCAACTTTGCGGCTGCTTTCTTAGAGTGTAGGCCCATCTTTATTTATTTATCTTTTATAATCCCTTATTCCTCTCTTTCCATCTTGCTTACCAAGTTAATAAACAGGGCTCATGCAGACGGTCAATGACGAGGGCGTCTGGAGAATTTCTCGAAGGGCTAATTCGCCCATTATTGAAGTATATAAAGCAGAGGAAACAGGGCACGGCGATGTCCTAACAGATGAGTTTAAAGACTGGAGGATCAAACTGGGGCTCGATTCAACGGAGTCATGAAACCGTCGCGATATATAATAATGAAGACATAATCATATCATAACAAACCATCTCACTTTTATATAACGTACTAGGCCAATTTACTTGATAGGTGCCTCCATGTCATGGCAATCATGTATACATCATATCTATACATTCATCTGTGTAAAAAGAGATCGACTATAACCATCCTCCCAAACGCCTATTCCTCCAACCGCGACAAATAAGCAAAAAAAGGTTAATGAGAATAGAACAATGATTGGAAAAGAAGAGAAGATTAAAAGAAGGAGAGAAAAGTAAGAAGAGAGAAAAACAAAAAACGCAAAATAAGAAAGCAATGATCTACTCTAATATGCGTGTCTTACTGCCTTTTTTACTTCTCCAATATCAAGGCAAAGCTTCCTAAACATTCGTAGATCCTAAACGCCCCTCCACGCCAGTGATAGCTCATCGTCTTGCGGCTGGTATCGGTATGCAAGCTCATTATATCGCATTCGAAATCGTACAAGTCGTATTTATTGGCTCTGAATTTCTTGCCGCGACAATCCTAACGATATCATTCCACCTATTAAATTCGTTTCAAATCGTATCACCTAGAAGGCACACATAATTGTTGGTTCTTGGCTCCGGATCAGATAGCTGGCCACCGGATGCGCAAACCATCTGCCCAACGGTTGTAGAGGACGTCTGATAGCTGCTTGCAATGTTCCATGCCTAGTTGTGTTTCTCGTCCAGGATACTTTTCCTCGATTGCTGCTTTATCTTGATCTCTGAGAGACTCTTTCGATACCGGTGACTCAAGTTGGCGTCGACGTTGGGTTCGGAGGTGAGGGCTTAGCACCATCTTGGCTGGGCTCGCTGAGGGAGTAGAGTTCTTAACAATCACCGTCCCTTGAGAAGTGCTGTCATTCGGAACCTTTTGCATAGACTGGCGAAATACCGCCGCGTTCAGTTTGTTATCTTGGCTCATGGCGGCAACGAGGCTGTTCATGAGATGATACGTTCCCTCAGGATCAACGGCATCTAGCGCCGCAAATGCTTCAGATAGCTTAGCTATGGCTTCGCGTTTCTGCGCGGTTGAGGCTTGCGCATGAAGCTCTGCAAGCGTAGGCTCTACTGCCTTAGAGTGTAGCCTCCGCCCTAAAAGGCCTTCCTTACTCTGGGGCTCGGCCGATGGCATCACGGGTGGAGGAACATTCTCATCGACAAACACATCGTCATCAGGAGACATGCTCCTGTTACCACGCATACCAGCTGAGCCATCTGATGGGGCTCCTCGGAAAAGGCGCATAGTCGATCCCGAATTTCCAAAAGACGTATCAGGCTGGAGAGGCCTCTTTGGAGCTGCTATTGCGCTTCGAGGCGAGCCATTGGCGTATGCTGAGGGGACTTGTACGATAGAAGGAGTGCGCCGGACTGTCGATTTCCGGATAGTGCTTGTGGCCGGAGACGAAGAACCCAGAGAGTTTTCGTCAATATCCAACTTGCGAACCCCTTCTTCAGTTGTTGCAAACACAGAAGATTGTTTATGCTGCTTGACGATTGGCTGCTTCGGTAATGCCACCGATTTCACAGTGTCAAATACCCATGCCTCATTGTCGTCGTTCTTGGTCGAAATAGGCTGTAGCGTCTCTTGGTAATAAATCGGATGCTTCTTGCGATTCTGGTTCGCATCCCACATCTGTCTCTGCATTGTAAGCTCTTGAAGAGCCTCAATCTTGCCAGCCGAGCGAATAAACCTGTGGCGCAGTAGCTCCTTGGCACTAGGTCGTCGATTGCACTCTTTCGTGAGGCACTGAGCAACAAAATCTTTGAACTCTTTGCTAAAATGGCCTTCCAGTCGCGGCGGCTGATTTTTGGGGATTTGGAAAAGAACCTTCATTGGGTGAATATGGCAAAGAGGAGGCTCTCCGTTGGCCATCTCCATTGCGGTGATGCCCAAAGACCAGATATCTGCCTTGAAGCTGTATCCATCTTGTTGAATCACCTCGGGGGCCATCCAGAACGGAGTGCCAACAAACGTGTTCCGCTGAGATTTGATGTTTGTGAGTTGAGCGGCCACACCGAAGTCGGCCAACTTGACTTTGCCAACATCTGAAAGCAGCACATTTGCGGCCTTGATATCGCGATGGATTTTGCCTTCCGAATGCAGATATTGGATTCCATGAAGAAGCTCGCGGCAAATAATGGCGATGTGAGCTTCAGTGAAATTTCCTGGTTTCAACTGCAGCAGGGCGACTGATTAGGGATAGAACGCGAACGGGAGGCAGATGGCTTTTGCTCACCAAGTCAAGACAGGATCCGCCGCCTAAATATTCCATGATGATCCATAGCTTGTGCCCTTTAAGAAACGAGCCCTTGTACTGGGTTACGTAGGAGCTAGCGCAAGTGCTGAGCACAGCAATCTCGGCTTGAATGTCTTGAATATCATCGTCGCTGGATTCAAGATCAATCTGGCGCAGATGAAGAGGTTAGTCAAAGTAGCTCTGTTTGCGAGGGAAAGCAGGCGCTTGATCGGCCGAATAAAGACAAAAGCTTACATGCTTGATAGCGACAGTCTCTCCAGTGACCTTGTCGATTCCCTTGTACACGACGCCAAAACTTCCACCTGGAGCCCCTGAGTTAGCGATGCGATCCACGACAGCGCATGAACTGCGGATCACCGATGAGACTCACGGCCTAGTTCCTCTAGCACCTGATAGCGGTCCGCAAGGCCCTCGTCATCGGCCATTTTTGGCGAAGCCCAAGCGATATTAGGTATCTTGTGCTTTAATTTGGCCCGTTTCTGGAAGCCAGCGCGAACGGTCAGGGGCAGATCCTGGGAATCGATATTCGCTTCTGGCAGCTCGAGCAAACGGGTGGGACTTGCCGCAGACCTGGAGCCGGCAGAAGCCACGAGCGATCGGATCAAGAAGTGTCAACGGTCGGAGCCCTAAGTCAATACACAGGCCGCAGCGCTCTAAGTACCTCGCCGGCCAAGTGCTGGTAGCGGTTTGATGAGAGCACAAATGAGTGGTCGGTTGTCCGGGGCAGTGGAGCCAGGCTCAGCTAGGGGTAGCTTTTGTTTACAATGCTCCGCTTTGGGATAGCTTTCTTTGACGGTTCCGCCCAGAGTCAGTCTGAGCTGGATCAGAAACTGGAATAATGCCTAGCAGGTACCTGCTGGTAACTGTCACTACTACTACTAGTAGGTACGTAGGTAGGTACCTCCAGAGCCAATTAAGCTCGGCCCATATGGTCTGGCGATGCAATTTTAGGTTGTTGCCGTGATTTGCGATTGAGAATGCGGCACGTGCAGCAAAAACGCGCAAACGCCCTGCGCAGCTGAGATGAGATGCCGCGCAAAACGAGGATCAACAAGTTGCAGCCGCTGCTCAGGTCGTGGGCGCGCCAATGCACGAAAGCACTGCATCAATCCTTTCAGCTTCTGCAGCATCAGCGAGCTTGTGCAAGTCGACGGAGCACAGCCTGGCCTGGCGACGGACAGCTGTACATTCAGGTACTTCGGCCTTGTCTCCCTCTGCTGCCGGCGCGGTCGCAAATGTCATTGGATCGTCATAACGGAGCTGCCCGGCGTCTAGCACGTCTAGTACGTAATTCTGACACCGTCCATATCATGCTGCAGCGCGCAGCGCAGCGCTGTGAAAGGGCGGCCTCGAGGCTCTGCGCTACGCTGCAGCGCTGCAGCCGTCGCCATGGAACCGCGATCCCCAGCCACCCGCCGCGCCAGATCTAGCTCGCCATTGGCGCCTGGCCTTTCAGTTGATCCTTTAGCGCCATGCACCGTGCGATGGCGCTAACACGAGGGGCCGCCCTCCCTTCCGCCAGCCACAGGCGGAGTTGGCCCGGCAACGACCTCTGCCCCTCTGTTGTCCCAGCGGCCCTTGCAAGGCTTCGCCGGCAGCTTTTCGTCGGCCAGTCCCGTAGTTCCCAGCCACCGGGGATATGCTGAGAAGCGGACCTCCAGCTGCGTCCATGCCTTGCTGCAATCTCGCTTGATGCAGCAGCCCAATCCAGCGTCCGCGATACGCTGCAACTCAACACAACAGAGCACGCAGCGCACAGCCTTGTTTGCGCCAGACAGTCTCGGTGAGCTGCTCGTTCTCGTCCTAGCCCGCCCTGCCTGTACACAGAGGTACCGGGGCCTGTCCTGTTGCGGTGCTTGGATGCTCCCTCGCTGGAGACCGCATTCCAAGCTATCGGCCGAGCTCACCCCCGTTTGACATCAACACGAGCCTACCTGGGCTACCATGCTTTTTGATACCGCCGCTGTATCGCACATTTTGAACATGCGCCGTCTGTAAACTTTGGGCTGTTTTGTTTCTTTCCAACGCTTCTACCAACGACACCGGTCGATATCGCGTCATCGGGCTGCGTTCGAGGGCCAGCCTGATTCCATCTGGCGAGGCGGCGAGGACCCGAACGCGTCGATTCATCAGCTGCCCACACCTGTCGCCCGACATTTTGCTCTGTCAGACAAGGGATAAACAACGACGGGGATAATTTCCCTTGCCCTTTCCTTGCCTTTTCTTCCGTCCTCATCCTCTTTCTCTCACCCGGTTGCTCTCCCACGTCTTCAGAGCTGGTCAATTAGGCGACACGGACGCGGCACATTCGTCGACATGATGGCGTTATCACCGCCGCCGCTGCCCTCGCGATTTCCGTGCTGGTGCCGAGCCATCTATTCTTGGGGAGGAGAGGTTTGTGATATGGTGGTGTGGCACTAACATGCGCTCAATTGCTAACATCGGTGTGTAGTCGAAACGCGATCTGGGATTCATCGAAGGCGACTTGATCGAATGTCTGAATGCAGGAGACGGCTCGTGGTGGGTGGGCAGGCTGTTTCGGGATCGGAGGACTGTTGGCTCCTTTCCATCCAATTTCGTCGAAGTGCTGCCAGAGGATTTTCGGCCAACAAAGACACCGAGCCCAGTGCCGCCTAATATAGCAGCGTCTCAACCCAAGACTGTGCCGCAGAAATCGAGAACTTTCCGGAAACCATTTGAGGCCTATGCAAAAGCACCGCATTATACAACAGCGAAACAGCCGGAAACATTTCGAGAAACACCGAGATCGCGGCTGCAAGACAAGCCGTCCCGGGAGACGACTGTAACGTCGCGAACCCGAGGAAACTCGACGCCGAATCCAAGCACTGCGCTTGTCCTTGCAAGAAGTGCTCACGAAGATATCGCTCGCGCCCCTTCTCCTGCGCCTTTCCCCGCCAGTAGCTATGCATCAAGAGCTCCATCACCGGCGCCGTCTATTGGTCGTCCAGCAAGTCGGGTAGAGAATATAGCGCGAGAGGATTCTCCACCGCCACCACCTCCTCCTCATAGGCACGTTGCGCGGGCAGAATCAACCGATGCAACACAAAACTATCAGTCAATATCAAGAGCTGGCTCTACGGTTTCATACAACCCGCGTGACATCTCGAGGCCAAGCTCTACCATTTCCTACAACCCAGCAGATATAGCGAGACAAGGCTCGACAGTCTCCTATAATCCGGCGGATATAACGAGGCATGGCTCTACCGTCTCATATAACGCAGAAGATATAATACCAAGACACGGCTCCGCTGTCTCATATGACCACTACAAGTCAAGTCAGCGTCCTTCCAATGGCTCTTACACCGACCTCCAAAATGTGTCAAGGCAGGCGTCGTATACCTCATACGATGATGGTTATGGAAACCAGAGGGACGGATACCACACACCTAGGGGGGGCAGCTCTCATCGGCCATCAATGGAGGGGAGCCATATGACGCCGTCACCGCTACGCGAAGCCATGGATGGAGTAATGCAACAGCTGGATCAATTGGAAGGACTAGGAGGGATTCGAGAGACGCAGTCGCCTGAGAGGCAGTACGATCCTTGGTCTCCTGAGTCCTTTGATATGGTATCCCCACCACCGCCACAGCAGAGACAAAAGTCACGGCAGCGGGCTGCTAGGCCTCTGACGTCAGTAGGTGTATTGAGTCCCGACGAAGGCTATGAGACTTGGAGCGGAGGATCCTCACAAAATACCTCGCAGCAAGACGGACATCGTGAAAAATTTTACGACCCGTCTCAGCTGAGCAATTATGTGGAAAGAATGGAGAAGCAGATCTCAAGAATGCACCAGCATAGCATCAGTATGCCAGAGAACCTAGATGACGATAAGCCTCCGCCTCCGCCTCCAAAAGGCCAGCCTTACCCTCGACCCAAATCGTCTGCTGGATCAACGGTCGGGGAGTTGGTCTCCTTTGACAAGAAAGCGCGTGGGCGAAGATCGGTGTACGACATGATTCCGGGCATCGAGCGCACCAATACAACCAAAACAAACCAGACCAACGCTTCGACCGGCAACCAGAGCAACAGCAGCTCTTCGACACAGAGCAGCGGTAGGACGCTGTGGAGTGGTGTTTCTGCTGGCGGGTTTAGTTCTACGAGCGCAGGAAGCTTAGCTCGGACGGCCCACCGTACTCAAAGTGCGCTTAGTATGCGCAACGATATCGATGGTGACCGGCCAGACTCCCCATTCACGGGTGTGACTTACCACAGCAGTCACGCCAGCAATTTTGCCGGACATGGAAGCAGCATCGCCCGACCGATATCTCAGGTAGGCTTTCATGAAGAACTCACCCCTGGATTAGGTGGTCTCGTTGCGCCCAAGTCGCCGAAAAGGAACATCTTCAAGAAGATCTTCGAATCAGCCAAGACAGGCGTTGCTAGTAATCGGGGAAGCATAGCCGCCGGCCATATGCCCATCGTGAGGTCGTCGCCATTTTCTCGCTTACAACAGCCACATAGCGTGTCGCCGGGAGCAAGCATGGCCTCGTTGAGCGGCGCCCGATCTAGGCGCGATGCCGCCCGAGAAATGGGCCTTAACGCTGGCGTTGACTGGGTCCAAGTTCGGCGTGATGTCAACCGATCCAACTCCATCAGTAAGATCGAACGAACTGAGCGAATGGAGCGCTGTCAGATGCAAGACCATCCCACTCTCAATCCTATCGACGAGCTCTATGAGGGCATCGAGGGCGATGAAGGAGCGGATGGCATGCCTGTTCACAAACCGGAGAACTACCATATGATTAATCTTTCTCAAGTGGACAAGAATTCTCGTTATGTGAAAGAGCCGCCTCCAGGAACAACAGTGGCAACCCTCGCTCAGACTTATATCTGCAGACCGTACAGGAGTGACCTACAGCGGCTCCGAGCAATATTCACCTGGGTTGCTGAGAAGATATGCTGGGAAGAAGACTTTGAGGGCGATGCTGATACTCAGCGAACTATCCAGGCACGGCGTGGGTGCGCAGAAGAGTATGCCATGCTCGTAATGGAAATGTGCTCTGCGGTTGGACTGCACTGTGAAGTGGTGAGGGGATACTTGAAAGCCCCTGGTGATGTACCGGACCTCAATGTCATGCCCAGGCCGAATCACTGGTGGAACGCAGTCATTGTTGACGATGAATGGCGCATGATCGATGCTTGCCTAGCAAGCTCCTCCAACCCCAAGCGCGCTCTTTATTCAAGTCTGAGCGGGCCATCGGCGGACTTTTGGTGGTTCCTCGCACGGCCGACAGAGATCTGCTGGACCCATGTGCCCGAACACCACGACCAGCAACATATTGTGCCCCCAGTGGCCTATAATACACTTTTAAATCTGCCATGTGCATGCCCGGCGTATTTCAAGAATGGACTCGAATTGGTGGACTTCAACACCAGCTTGACAAGAATAGAAGACCTCGAAATGGTCCACATCATGTTCAACGTCCCGAGCGATGTTGAAATCGCAGCCGAGGTTGAAGCACGGGCATTCACCAAGGACAACGACGGCGATTTGTTTGAGAGTGGCGACGTTGTGAAGAAGAAGGCCCTGGCTCAGGCTGAGTGGTTCAACGGCTTGAAACGCTACACGGTAAAGGCCCTACTGCCCGGCGATGAAGGCCAGGGCGTATTAAAGGTTTATGCTGGCAAAAGGGGCTTGATGCAGAGCATCAAAGACATTCCTCATCCTCTGGCCTTTACTCTCCCCATCATCCACACTGGCGAGAATCCGCCATATGAATTTGTAACACGACATCCGACCCCCCACGCACAAAGGCACGACATCTATGTTGTCCAGCCTCAATGTCAGCAATTGGCTCTCAACAATACCTTTGTCTTTGCAATCAGGCAGCACCCCAGCTCCATGTCGGGTAGCGCACAGTCAGCTCTCACGCCGGCATCAAACCCCGGATCGACAAGTCCTGTGCCTTTTGCTCGACCATCATCTGCCATGAGCATCAACGCTTCTAGTGCGAGCGGTAGTTCGGCTAGCGGCACGGTTGCCGGAAAGAAGCCGGCTAAGCTGGCAATTCAGACACCAGGAGGCAAGATTCTCCGTCTTATGAGGAAAGAAGACCGCAAAGGGATCAGCGTTGGATCGAGGACCCCAGACGAGGAGGTTAGCGACGGCGGTACCTGGGAGACAATCATCAAGTGCTCCGAAAAGGGCCTTTGGAGAGGTCTGGTTCTTGCAGACCGCACCGCGCGATGGTGCGTATTTGCTGAATGGACATGCGTTGGTTAAGAATATGAGTACGAAGAACGACTTATTGATACCTTGGGCCATTGAGCCTTTCGCACGAAGCAAAGAAGAAAAAAAAGAGTGTTAATTTTGGAAGGTATATGGTTGCATATGCATGTCACGGCGTTTGGCTTCGAGCTGTTCATTTGTTTTATTTTGATTGTTTCATTCTTTTCTTCGTCTGGTTTTTGTGTTATGACTGCCAGAGAATCGGGTCTGTTGTCATGCGTCAAAAGAAATTATGTTGTTTACGCTACAATGTATGTCATGTAACTTAGTTTTTGAAGATGCGGCGAAGGAAGAAATAGCCGTAGCTCACACTACGTATACTTATGAATTATTTGAATCCTGTTTTAATACAACCGCAATGCCCGATGCCTCAAACCTAGTAAATTGTGCGACGATAAACCAATGTACGAAAGTATAATGACGACAAACCCCCAGAACTAGCCATTCTTCTGCCTAACTTGATCCCAGGCAACAAGATGACTGATCTCTCCCCTTTTTTCTTCCTTCAAGATGCCAGATCTAGCGGCATCCGGCATGGCGTAGCACTCGGGGGCGTTCAAAGCACGTCCGGATCTGCGCAGTGCCTATACCAGCAATAAATTGGCGGGCCGCTGAGCTGAGCCAACCATGTGATAGGGCGGCCTCTTTTTTTTCCCTAGGCGCGGCGCGGCTGATTCGCACAGTGGGCGTGTTCCCGCAAGCGTAACTTGGACTCTGGACTTTGCAACGTTCAGCCTTTCCCGAGTTTCGGAGAGTCAGAGGAGGTGGAAGTCCCAAATTCTTTTCTCGCTTGTATCTTTTCTTGATATTTAACCCTGTGCCTCTTATTGTCCCCGCGACGCGAATAACTCGAAGACGAACGCAGCTATCGAGTGCACAGAGGGTTTTCCCAAAAGCGTTGCGAGCCGAACGACATCACGCGCGCCTCGACTTGCGTTCCTGCTCGACAGACACATCGACAAAAGCCAAACTTGCTCCGTTTCTTTGAAAAGCGACCGATGAACTCGACCAGGAGGACAGCATGAAACTTGGTCTGCGCCGTGCTTCACTCTCCTACCAGCAAGACCGGCGGCCGATGCTGACGGTGCGATGTCGTTCCGAGGGACGCTGCCTTCGGGACAGGCCTATCTAGGCCACGATGAGCAGCAGCAGCAGCAGCAGCAGCAGCAACATCATCACCTCAATCAGCATCACCAGCAGCAGCAGCAGCAGATGTATGGCCACCCGGCTGGAGCCTACTTCTCGCCGCAGATGCAACAGCAGATGGCGCAGCCGCAGAACCAGAACCAGCAGCAGCAGCAGCAGCAACAGTTTCAACACCATGGCCAGCAGTCCATGTATACCGGCGGCATTGGCCACGAGCAGCAGTTCTACCATCACCAGAATCCGCAGCAGCAGCCTCAGCATGGCATGTACATGCAGCCGCAACAGTTCCAGCAGCAGGCGCATCAGCACCAACCGCCAATGTCGGCATATAATGTTGGCTTCAACGGGTACCCCGAGTATAATGCTTCGGCGCAAGTCGGTGGCCACCAAGGCCATCATTTGCAGCAGACGGCGAACCAATATCTACCGCCGAGTAACGTGTGGCAACAGCATCATCAGCAGCCGCAACAGCAACAGCCCCAGCGGCAGCAGATGACACCACAGCCGATGCAGCATCAGCCTCTTCCTAACCAACGTCTTCCGCACCAACCTCTGCCTCATCAGGCTTTGCAGCAGCAACAACAACACCAGCAGCAACAGCAACAGCAGCATTCGATGCAGCAGCCGCTTCAACAGGTCCATCGACAACAACAACAACAACAACAACAACAACAACAGCAACATCAGCCGTCTCCTGTATACAATACGCAGTCGCCCGCGCCGTCTCTTCCACCGCAGCCATCACCTGTTCGAACTCCCGCGCCGCCGCTCCCACGACCGCAAGCTACTCCCCAGCCGTCACAGTACCATTCACCTGTGCCTCAGCCGTCACCGCAGAGAGAGCAAAAACGACAACCTACTCCACAGCAGCAGCAACAATATCGACAGCCTACTCCGCAGCAGCAGCCTCAGCAGCAGTCGCATACTCCCGTGCCTCAACAGCAGACTCCTGTACCTGTACCCCAGCAGCAACCTCCCATCCCTCAGTCGCAGCCTCCCATACCTCAGTCGCAGACTCCTATACCTCCCCAGTCGCCAATTCCCGCCCCCCAGCCGACCCAGAGCATTGAACAGCAGCCTCAGCAGGATGTACCTCCCGATCCTCCGCAACAACCTCAGTTTGTTCATCCCTCAATGCTCCAGCAAGAGCCGGTACACTATGTCAATATGCAAGATATTCAAAAACAGCCGTCGGTGACCTATTTACCCATATCAACGGCGACGTTATCGAATATCCCGGTCGCCAGCCATGAAAAGCCTAAAGAGTCTATTGTCAAGCCACCACCTCCCAGCGCAGCTCCAATTAAGCAAGAGAAGCAGGAAGATGGTTCTATATCGGCTCGCGTACTTCAACAAGCCCCCGATGTTCGCATTAAACCCAGTCCACACTCTTCAATGACAAACTCACCCTCGCTTTCCATGAGATCTCCGAGTATCACGAAGAAGTCACCTGCAATAACACCTAAACCTCGACCTGTCAACACAGCACCCTTGATGATAGCCGTTGCAGAAGAGTGCCTTGAAAAAGCGCGAATTGCCTCGCATGATGTAGCCATGGCGCTGTGTCCAAACCAAGTGAGCGAGTACCAGGAGTTAATAGCAACGGCGCTATCGTGTCTAGAGGCTGCGTTGCAAGGCAACAACCAACTTGCGCCGCGAGAGGAGGCGCGTGTACGATTACGATATGCTGCGCTTTTACAGGAGGAGACGGAGAACTTGATGGAGGCCGAGACAGCTTTGGCCAAGGGAATTACGCTTTGCGACAAGGTAAGTAAAGAAAACGGGGTAGACTCGATTTTCAATTCGCTTCCCTTGGCATGTATAGCTGACATGATACAATCGATTAGCACCGTCTTTTTGATTTAAAGTATTGCATGCAGTATCTCATGTTGAAGGTCTTATTCCAAAGGAATCATAAAGCGGCATTAAAAGCGGTAGACGGTCACATTTCTAATTGTGAAGTGTAAGTGAATCTTGGAGCCTACTCCCCATGTTAAATCACAATCAAGTCTGACAGGATATGCAGATTTAAACATGTACAGTGGTATTACGCCTTTCGGTTATTAAAAGCTTCCTTTTATCTTGGTGTTGGAATTACGGACGCTGGTGCCCTCGATAACATACGATCTATTCAGAATGTCGCCAATACGAGAGGCGACACTGCGCTCTCTGTTCTCGCCTCACTAATAGAAGGCTTCACTCTTCTCAAAACGGCCAAGGACGGCAACATGGAGAAGATACAAGCCTGCATCGCCCAGGTCGCCAAATATCAATTTGACCCATCAGTGCAGATTACGCAGCTCACCATGTTGACTCTGCTACTAGAAGTTGCTGCAAGTCTGCATCATCAGAACCCGGACCACACAGCCCAAAAATTACGGCAGCTACAGACGTGTCTAGATGACTGCGAGGACTGGCATAATGTCAAATCTGACTTTCTGGTACCGATCAAGAAGGAGTTGTCTGCAGCCAAGACTGTAAGCGGCGATACTCAAGCGATTCTTCGCTTGGGTGAGGGCGAGGGCGAGATGGATTACCTGGTCATGACATTTATGACGAAGATGGAGCTGAGGTCGCTCGTGTACGTGCATTACAAGATTTCCCTTGACTGTCATTGAATTACTCGGCTGACATGTATGCAGATTTACCATAAGTGGTTTAGTCAACTTTCATAAGCCGTCATCACAAGGGCGCAGGTCAACCGAGTTCTGGAAAGAAGGCTTGAAGATTCTACAAACATGTAATTTTCCCTGCCCAAACGCATTCATTCTGCATTCCACTAACTCTCTCTACAGGGGACTCTTCAACGGCTGGCATTCCATATGGCGCCCCTGTTCCTTTAAACGTGGCGGTCAAGCAGCGGGCCTGGCGGACAGAGGCTCAAGCCTACTTGAATGTTCTCTTGGGACTGGTGGCAGCAAGCCACTGCCAATGGTCAGATGTTAAACAGATGGTTCAGACTCTTGGGTCTCTTGTCTCGTCCTCAACGCAGCCGACTGTGAGATTACTCGCCATCTATCTGAAGGGTGTATATTTTCAGGGCATTGGCCAACTTCAACAAGCTCTCGACATCTTCTTACACAACCAATTTGCAGTCCAGCAACAGGGAAGCACTGGTATCAAAGCCGGACATCAAGAAATTGCTCTTCTTGCAGGACTGAACAGGCTCTGGATTATGCAGCACCCTTCCTGTCGGAATGATCAGACAACGCAAGATTTGATCGAGCAGCTTCAGCCTCACTGCAATAACCACACCAACATTGACCTCCGAACTGCTTGGCACAACGTTATGGCCGCCATAGTGACAGACCCTCCCCAGCAACTCAACTCGCAAAAGCAGCACATACACGCCGCCATGGCGGGCTCCAAAGTCACTAGTAATGTACTGGGAGCAGCCGTCACGCTGTGCATCATGCGCAGCCGCTTCTTCGAAAACGTCATTGGCGAACAGGCTCTGAAAAGCGCCCGAGCGGCGGCCAAGCAGGCACAGAGGAGCGGCAACGTCCTGTGGCAGAGCGTCGCTGATGGCATGCTGGCGCAGTCGTATGAGGTACAGGGACAGAGAGACGAGGCCAAACAGGAGTGGGACAAGGCAACAGAGGAAGCTAGAGACGCGTTTTCTCGAAGTCTATGATTTGCTTTGTGGAAAGGCGTTGTGCATGAAAAAAAGCAGGAATCAGATATGGTGTAAATGTTGCAATTTATGACGGAGAAAGTAATGTCTTGTTTAGGAGGAGTTGAGGGGCGTATTTTTTTTTTGTCGGTACTGCCATTTGTTTTTGGTCACAACTGGTTTTCATTTTTACTTGGCCTTGAGCCAGGAGAGGAGCATTAGTTGTTGGATGATTATACAGTGAAAGGAATCCTGTTACGTACGAAACAACAAAACAAAAACCTCCTGTACGATGCCTGGACGCAGAACATGGTTATTATTAAACTTTTTGGGAGGTAAAGAGTCATATCAGGACGCTTATATAGATACAAGAAGAAAGAAAAAAACAAAGAGTCCTTGAGGACGAATCTTGACATGCTTCTATTCTCCCCCCCTTTTTCTGGAATCCCAGACTATTAAAAGTTTTGATGGTATTGTGTGTCTAAGATGGCATATTTCTTTTCATCGCCCTCCTCTTACCTAAAACTCAAATCAATGTCCGCCTTGTCCAAACCAGACGTATTACATAAAATTAAATGCTACAATGCAGAAAAATAATTTTCAAAAAAAAAGTGATTTACCTCACCGGCGACCAAAACCTGAAGGAGGCTGGAAACCTGGGGGTGGCATGAATCCAGGAGGCGCAGGAGGTGTTCCTGTCGCTCCTGGGGGAGGCAAGGGAAAGCCGGGAGGCGGCACTGCTGGGAACCCTTGAGGCGGCGGAGGAACTCCCGCAGGAGGACCGCCCGAGGGAGGCCGGTAGCCAGACGGGTGGAAATCTGCCGGGTTCGTGTATCCGCCCTGGATCTGAGGAGGTCGTGCGGGGAGACCTGAGGGAGCTGGGGGGAGGGGGGCCGAGCCTCGTCCGGCGCCAGGGAAGCCGTTTGGCGGAGGGTGGCCAGCACCGGGGTTGTTGTAGGGAGATGGCCCGCGTGGAGGAGGAGCAAAGCCGCTGGGCATGCCGGCATGTGTAGGCGTGCCCATCATGGGCGGCGGTGCTCCCGCAGGTGCACCTCCCATGGCGCCCGAGTCGAAGCCTGCGGGAGCGGGTGGAGGGACAGCAGAAGCTGGAGGAGGAGCGGTGGCATTGGAGCCCATGAGGAAAGCCTGAGGAAGCGGCTGGGCTTCGGGGAGGATGTTTCTTGACTTGGCCTGCGCAGCCAGTGCTCGTTCGGCCTGGTCTCCGTGCCTGTCTCCCTTGCCGTCCTTCTTGAAAGCGTATTGTACCGAAACCTCCTTGCTGAGGATGTACTGCCCGTGCAGGTTGGCAATTGCGGCATCGCTGCTCTCGAAGTCGCCGTAACTGACAAAACCGAATCCCTTGCTCGCGCCGCTGTCTTCCCTGGCCACCTTGGGGATGCTCAGCAGCGGTCCAAAGCGGCTGAAAGTATCGTACAGGATCTTCTCGTCGACCATGGGGTCCAGGTTTCCGATGAACAGCTCGGCGCCCACCTCGGCGGACCGCTGCTTGTCGGCGCTGGCCTTGTTGACACGGAGCGACTTGCCGTAGAGCTTGATGCCGTTCATGACGTTGGCCGCGTACTCGGCGTCGGCGGGGGTGCGGAACTCAACGAAGCCGAAGCCCTGGTGGGTTTGGGTGACGCGATCGCGAGGCATGTGGATGTTGTGGATGGGGCCCATCTGGAGCATGATTTCGTAGACCATGGCGGAGGTTGCGCGCTCGTCGATGTTGCCGATGTAGACGGTGGCCTCCTTGTCTTGCTCCCTGCGGAAGAAGAAGGGTTAGTACGTGTGGCCAGCTCATGGGGATTTCATTGAAAACAGGACGAGGAAGAAAGCAGCTGGAAGATGGAGGAGCTGCTCAGAGGAAAACCTACCAATGTCGATTGACAGCCATCTTGACGGTTTGCAGGCCGCAGCCTTGTAAGAAACGGTGAAGTGAAAGAATCAAGCGGCTAGACTAAGTTGCAGGAAATGAGTCGTCGTAAGGCGCTGAAAATTAAATCGAGAGGAGGAAAGGGGTCCAATGGATTTGGTCGCGTGTGATGCAGTGCAGATGAAGCTCAGAAATCTCGACGACTGCAGCATTTAGCTTGTATGTACACAGGTAACTATCGCCTGCTTGCTTCTTATCAAATTAGCCAGGGTTGAGCCGCGGCTCGATTGGCGGGCGCTTTCCCGCAAGCAGTAGTGACCGCATAGCATGGCCGGTGCTAGCTGGGCCGCGAAATTTCTTAGTCGGCGGGACAAACTGAGAAAAGACGTTGGAAGCATCAATTTGCGCATTTCGCCAAACTCGTCCGCCGTCTGTCGATATTGTATTCCATTCACGCTACGTACAATCAAGATGTTTGCCCTCTCAGAAGAGTCCAAGGTACGGCATGCGAAGCGGCTTTGAGCAAGAAGTCGACAAAGAGACAAAAGGCGAAAGCTATGATGATGAAACACCCGGTCTAACACCATCTCTCTGCTGTAGGAGCGCATTGCCAAGCTCATCGACATTTCACGAGTCGCCATTCACTAGTAAGAGATTTTCCATATGGTTTTTCTGCTGCGGATTTGATAGCTGACAACTGTGATCTAGTGGCTACCTCCCTCTGATTCTCTACCTGGGTATGCGATCTTTACGCAGACGCTCGGCATATGCCGGAGACTGACTCTTCTCGATTTAGGCTACACTCGCAGCGACCCCCGACCTTCAGTCATCCGGTACGTCGCCTGTTTATATTCGAATGATTAAGAGGTGCTCGGCGCTAACATGTTGTTTGAAACAGCCTTCTCTCTCCTCTCTCATAAACACAGAACGCACCGGACGATGGCGTTGATGTACGATATACGATGATAATACGGCAAAAACGGGGAGGGTATTCACGGAAAGAAAAGCAAGTGAACAACTTGGAGGGAGATTAAAATGTCCAGCATTCAAGGCGTTTGGGCAATATCCACATCTCTTGGGAAGACAGGGCGAGACGGGAGGGCAGCGTGTTACAAAAGATGACGGCCGCGGGGAAGAGGCAAAAGGACCGATGCTGCAATGTACCCATAGGAATGTATTATCAGTTGCTTCGTATCACCCATAATTGGACCAAGAAACCACTCTGCGAATCAGCCCATAAGCTCTTGTAGGTGATGACGGAATCAACGAGATCAATTTTATACAGCGAGGCAACTTGAGAAAAAGCCCAAGTAATGAGAATTTGTGAAGATGAACCTTTCGTTACGCCACATGTCTTATCACCATTTCTCTCGCAGCTAATTCCAACTGGAACACCTCCTTTTGGTACAGTAGTATGCAAGTAAGCATACAGTAGCATCAATGCAATAGTCGCTGAAAGAGACCCTCTAGGCTTCCCGCTTTCAGTAAACTGCAGCAGGCTGTAAGCGGTGTCGAAACCTTCCAGAGATAAACCACTGCTGCCTCGGTGAATCGTATATTGGCAATTGAGCCAACTCAACCCACCCAAATCTCGTTCCATCTCAAAATCCAACAGCTGGTTACACATAACAACAAAACTGTCACTTCAACCTAGTAGCACCAAGCAGCTAACCCCCCGAAAGCGCCCGAATTTTAAAAATTCTTCCGCTACTACCCGCCCAGCCCAGTGAACCGGCTCGGTTCTTAACTGACTAAACTAAAGCGCCAGTAACTCAAAGGGCCCTTTTCTCCAGAGGTCCCCTATAAAAAAAAAGGGCTTCTCACGGCAAATATTCCTTGTGCTTTCCCATGAGCCTCGACAACTCGCCCGTCAACTTTGCGCAGCCAAACGATGTGACGGGACGCAACTCCGAACCGAACAACTACATGCCCGGAAGCGAACATGCGGGCCTCTCTCCCGCAATTGTCGAGTCGATTGCCGGCCTCAGCGCCGGGACGGTAGCGACGCTGGTGGTGCATCCGCTGGACATTGTCAAGACACGCATGCAGAGTAAGGATTTGCTGCCATTGTGTTCTTTCTCTTATCTCTGTATCCTCTTCCGTCAAGCGATGTATGCTTCACCTTGTTTGTCTTGCTGAAATGCACCTCAACCCCACCAAGATATGGGCAACATCACATCCAGCAAAGATGGACAAGGCAGAACACGGATTGCTGATTGGAAGAAGATGTCAAGAAAGAGAAGAAAAAAAGTAAACAAACCTCCTGCTAACAAATCAACAGTCAGCACCAGCGCTGCCTCCGCCGCCTCGCACGACCTCTCCGCCGTCGGCATGCTGCGATCCCTCACAAACAGCCCCAACCCCTTCGCCTCGCTCTACCGCGGCCTCGTCCCGAACCTGTCCGGCAACGCCCTCAGCTGGGCCTCCTTCTTCTTCTTCAAAACCCGCTTCGAGGACCTGCTCATGCTCGCCCGCGGCTCCGAGCGACCCACGCCCTCCGACTACTTCGTCGCCAGCGCCCTCGCTGGTGCCGCCACGTCCGTGCTGTCGAACCCGATCTGGGTCGTCAAGACGCGCATGCTGGCCTCGGATAAGGGCGCAAAGGGCGCCTACCCGTCCATGTGGTCCGGCTTCCGCACAATCTACGCCACCGAGGGCATTCGCGGCCTGTACCGCGGCCTGGGCGTCTCCATGATTGGCGTGTCGCACGGCGCCGTGCAGTTTGCCGTGTACGAGCCGGCCAAGCGCTTCTACTTTGCGCGGCGCCAGAGGATGGGCGTCGACAACGGCCGCATGACCACCGAGGCCACGCTTGTGATTTCCTCGGCCTCGAAGCTCATTGCCGGCGCCGTCACGTATCCGTACCAGGTCCTCCGGAGCCGGCTGCAGGTCTACAAGGCGGACGAGAAGTTTGGCAAGGGCTTCAGGGGCGTGGTGAGGATGACGTGGAGGGAGGAGGGGATCCGCGGCTTCTATCGTGGCCTGATTCCGGGCGTCGTTCGGGTCATGCCGTCGACGTGGGTGACGTTTTTGGTCTATGAGAATGTGCGGTTCTACCTCCCGCGCTGGCTCGCCTAATTCGGCTTTGATTCGACATTGATACGGCGAAAGATACCTTTTTCCTTTACTTGTTTCACGCTACGTC